CGCCCGTGTGTGTGTGTGTGTGTGCGTGTGTGTGTGTGTGTGTGTGTGTGTGTGTGTGTGCGTGTGCTGTTGGAGTGGCCGTCGGCGGTCCTGGTGCCCCCGACCCGAGGAAGATGAGTAGAGTGAGGCCTCTTAGGCAGGGATCGCGTTGGGGCGTGGACTGTCTTTTTACTTGCTTTGAGGTGGACTGGGCCCTGTGCCTGGACCTCTATGCGATGGCTGCTCCGTTGTTGTGGTAGTGCCGCGTGTGGGCACTCGGGATGCTTCGAGTCTGTGGTGGTCTTGGGAGCTTGGGCCGCAGTGCCTGGGCTTCGACGGGGAGCTGGGGCCTTCGTGGGCTGCTGGGCTTCCCTTCCGTCGTGAACCCGATGCGGCCCCCTCGGTCTTGGCGCTACCTATGTTTAGGTGGTTGCAGGTCCTATGTGTAGGACCTCGACTCGGGTTTGCCATAGCGGCCTCTCTGGGCGCCTCGGGGTGTTTTACCTTGTAGCACACCCTTTGGTTTGGACCTCACTGTTCCTCCGGGTGCAAGCCCTTCAGGCTTGCAGTGACGTGCAGGCTGTCACTTATTTTGCTTCCGTGCGCTGGCCAGGGACTGTCCGCAGATTGGCACACGCACGCGCACACGCAGTCGCACACGCACACGCGCACGCGCACGCGCACGCGCACGCACACGCGCACGCATACGCACACGCGCACGCACACGCACACGCGCACGCGCACGCACACGCACACGCGCACGCGCACGCGCACGCCCACGCGCACGCACGCGGGCACGCAAGCACGCACGCACGCACGCACGCGAGCACGCGCGCGCGCAAGCACGCACGCGCGGACGCACGCACGCGCGCACGCGCGCACGCGCGCACGCGCGCACGCGTGCGCGCACGCACGCCCGCACGCACGCACGCGCGCACGCACGCGCGCACGCACGCGCGCACGCACGCGCAGACACACGCACGCACGCACACACGCACACACGCATGCACGCACACACGCACATACGCACACACTCACGCCCGCACGCCCGCACACCCGCACATACGCACGCACGTGCGCACACACGTACACACGCACACACGCACACACACGCACACACACACACGCGCACACACACACGCACACACACACACACGCGCGCACGCACGCACGCACACCCACCCACGACACACAAAACACACACAACACACAACACACAACACACACACGACACACACGCACACAACACACACACACACAAACACACACAACACCAAAACACAGAACGCGCACACCACGCAACACAATCACACACCATAACACAACACAACACAACACAACACAACACAACACACCACAACACAGCACCACACAACACCACATAAGCACGCACGCGCACACACACGCACACACAGACACACACAGACACACAGACACACAGAAACACACACAGACGCACCGACACACAAACACACACACAGATATATATATATATATATATATACATATATATATACAGACACACCGACACACAAACACACACACACGCACGCACGCACGCGCGCACGCACGCACGCACGCACGCAAATACATACACACGCACGCACGCACGCACGCACGCGCACACGCACACACCACACACACGCACATACACACACGCACGCGCGCACGCACGTGCGCACACACGCACACACGCACACATGCATACGCACTCGAACACACTTTTTGCGTCGGCGGCTCGGCAGAGTGACTGTGCTGGCGGATGGGGCATGTGTGGGGCGTGCGTACGCGAAGTCAGCCGCAATGCAAGAGAGAGGGGTCGCACGCACGCGCGCGCACTCACACGCGCGCGCGCGCCCGCGCGCAAACGCCCGCGCGCGCGCGCACCCGCGCGCGCACGCACGCACGCGCGCACATGCGCGCACACATGCACGTGCGCGCGTGCAGTTTCTGGAGTCGCGACCCCGCGCGCGGCAGCGCGGCGGAGAACCATCGGGAAAAAAACGCGCGCAAGCGCGTCTAGAGCGGCCGAGCCCGCAACGCGCGCGCACGCGCGCGCGCGCTCGCGCGCGTCCGCGTCCGTTGCGCCCGCCGCGCCCGCCGCGCCCGCCGCGCATGCCGCGCATGCCGCGCGCGCCGCGCGCGCCGCGCGCGCCGGACATGCGCCGCACACGCCGCGCACGCAGCGCGCGCCGCGCATGCAGCGCGCGCGCAGCACGCGCAGCGCACGCAACACACGCAGCGCACGCAGCGCACGCAGTGCACGCAGCGCACGCAGCGCGCGCACGCGCACACGTACCCGCACATACACACGCACGCGCACGCGCACGCGCACGCGAACACGACGCGCACAGGCATAGGGACAGGCGCAGGCACGGGCGCGCACACGCACACGCGCACGCACGCACACACGCACGCGCGCACACACACGCACGCGCGCGCACACACGCACGCGCACGCGCACGCACGCACGCACACACGCACGCACGCACGCACGCGCACGCACCCACGCCCACAACCACAGACCCACGCACCCACGCGCCCACGCCCAAATCCCCACCCGCGCCCGCGCCCACACCCGCGCCCATACCCACCCACACCCACGCCCATACCCACGCCCAATCCCACACGCACACGCGCGCGCGCACGCACGCGCGCGCGCACAGGCACACGCGCGCGAACGCGCGCGCGCACGTGCACAAGCGCACAGGCACACGCGCACGCGCGCGCGCGCACGCACGCACAGGCGCACGCACGCACGCTTTTTCGGTCAACGGCGAGGCGGAGAAATCCGCTCCGGCGAGAAGCTAGATAGGCGCACTGGCCAGCGAATTGGCCGGCGAGCAAAGAGGGAAGGGGGGCGGCCGAGAGAAAGAAAGGGCGCTCAGACGCCGAAGAGTTCGACGATGAGCAGCCGGGGGGGCAGCGGCAGCCAGGCGCGCAAGGCCAGGGCGGCCGTGGCGAACCACGGTGGCAAGGGTGGCGGGGAGTCGCAGCCAGCGCCTAGGACTGGGGTATGCAGACGCCCTGCCCGATGTACTGGGCTCTAGAGCCCACTGCGTAAGCGAAGCTCTTTCCTTTGTTTTGATGTTCCAACGACCTGCAATGCATTGCCCTTGGACTTGGAGAAACCGGGCCAGTTCCAGAGTGTGCAGGGCACTGGACGTTGGAAAACTTCCCAAAGAAGAATTGAGAGTCCGCGAGAAAAACGAACCGCGCGCTGTTGGGGCCGGCGACCTCCTGTCCACGTAGCGCGCAACCTGCATATTGACAGAGCGATTGGAACCATGACTGCTATATGCCGTGCATCTGGAGTTAGGTTCGCATGTGGGTACGAACGCAACTGAGAAAGCGTTGAGGCTGAGAGAGGCATCTCCGAAGGAGCAGGGACTAGAGTCTGCCATGGCGCTGCGGTGGCTGCACTCTGAAGAGGCTTCGCATTCGGTCCTGCAAGATATTCAAAGTCAAGATGTAGGTTGTCTGTCCAACTACAGAGTCTGTTCACGATATCATAGGCCGATGAGGTAAGTGCAAATCCGCGTAGGTTGGGAAAGTCGGGGCTGGACCTTGCACATCTGCGCACAACTTCGCCGGCTTGATCTTGCACGGGGCCCCGACAACAACTTCGCACCGGCCACGCGTGAGCATGAAACAGAAATGTATGGATATGGAACGTGGCCGTGCCCAACGCACGAAGTTGTTTGTCCGTCGATACGGACAATGGCGTCTGCGGTGCACTGAAAGACTCGCTCGCAGCTCCGATCCCGATGCCGACGCACTGAAAGGATGAGAACTACTCCTAGCTCTTGTGTTCGCCGCCCTGGCCCTCGTAGGTCCCCGACATCCCCGCGATGTCCGTGGAGAACACCCGAGACAACATCCAAGGCTTTGCCCAGACATCGCGGCGGCGTCGGAAGACGGCGACCCAAGATACTGAATACTAATCTTGGCAATCTCACTGACACGTAATCATGATTTGTTTTTATAGTGTCTGGCCTGCCTAGCGTGGCATGTCTTTGAACGTCAGCTGCTGCCCTGGGCGACGCTGGCCTCGCCCTGTGCGGGGCGCTAGACAGCTGGCCAAGAAACGTTTTTGAACAAAAACAGCAAGTGACAAACATACGCGTGCAGGCAAATACGTATTTACAGAAAACAAAATGTGTGCAGCAAAAATGCATGATTGTGTCGAAACAGGTTGGCGTGTGAGCTAATCTCAAACACACACACACGTTCTCTCTCACGCACACACACACCCACCCACCCACACACACAACACAAACACACATTCACACACACACACGCACCCACACCACACACACACACTCACTCACACACGCACACACACACGCGCGCACACACGCGCGCACACACGCGCGCACACACACACACACACGCACACACACACACACACGCACACACACACACACGCACACACACGCGCACACACGCACACACGCACACACGCACACACGCGCGCACACGCGCGCACACGCACGCACACGCACGTGCACACGCCCGCGCACACGCCCGCACGCTCCCGCGCACGCACGCGCACGCACGCGCAGGCACGCACGCACGCACATACGCACGCACACTCGCACGCACGCACGCAGACACGCAGACAAGCAAACACGCACACACGCACACGCGCAAACACGCACACACGCACACACACACAAGCATACAAACACACAGCCACACAAACACACAATAACACAAACACACACACAAACACACACACGCACACACACACACACACGCACACAACACACAACACACATTCAGACAACACACACAAACACACCGTGGGGCATGCGCAGGGCGGCGCTGCTGTCGTTCGTCGTTCGTCGGCCGTCGTCGCCGTCGTCGCCGTCGTCGCCGTCGTCGTCGCCGTCGTCGTAGTCGCCGTCGTCGTCGTCGTCGTCGTCGCCGCCGCCGTCGTGCTCGTCGCCCCCGTCGCCCCGAGGGCGGCGGGCGCCCCGCGGGAGCGGCCGAGGCTGGCAGGCGGCGGGCGGCCTCCA